CCACTTTCACCTCCTCCATGCTCGGGTACCGCCCCCTCCCGCCAATCGGACAACTCCGGCCACACCCCCGGGGCGCTAGCCCACAGCCAATGAGCAGCTAGAGCCCGGCTGGGAGTGGCGCCGGCCAATCACAGAGGCCGAGGACGCCTTGAATCTCTGGGCAAGTTAAGTTTGTCTCCGAGGCTCCGAACTGAAGGGAGATGGCGGGTTAGTTAGGTAGTGGGGTGGGAGGGAATATAGTTTGTGCTGCTCCGCCAATAGGAGGGAGAGGGTGTGTCTTATGCAAATAACCCCAGGAAGGCCAGTTCCTCCCCTAAGGCAAGCCGAGGCCCCTGCAGAAATGGTGAGGGAATGAGATGAATAACTGGGAGCTTGAGCTAGCTTGTGCATCTAAGACTGAGCTAAATATTTCCTGATTCCTTGAGAAAGAGGGTAGGGGTATGGGGGGTAAAACATTCATACCATCAGGGCAGTGGTTAGGCTTTCTCTTAGCCAAAATCTTAGCTTAGCTGTAAAGAAGACTGCAGTCACGTACCACTTTGCATCCAAGGATCTCAAAGAACTTTATGCATCATTTACCGTGAGCCTTGTGTTGCAAAAGACCAGTTACCTGAGGCTTCGGCTGGGGGTGGAGGATAGATAATTAAGTATGTATACACCATTAATCGAGTTCGAAGGGGGAAAAAAAGGACGCAAAATCTGCGAGTTAGCAGTTTCCTCCTCCATCTAAAGCCCCTTCTCGCAGTCTCTCAGCAATCAAAATTCCTTTATTGTACAGCACGAAAAGACCAAAGAGGTTTGTCTTCCACCCAAAACTCCTTCTGAGGCAGCTGGTTAGATAAATGCAGAGCACAGAGCTCTGCTTGGGAAGGAAAGTTCAGAGAACAAATTGCCATTTAAAACTGTTGGGCTAGACCTGCCTCTTCCAAAGCTAAAAATGGATTCAGGATTTTGGCTTTCACGCTCTGGAGAGAGAAGACAGATGTAATTGGAGAAAACTCTGGCTGGCAGGGGCGTGGGGGTGGGGGTGGGGGGTGGCGGACAGGCGAATGGGGAAGCAAGGTCTCCCGAGGGGTTGGGTAGCAACGCGCATGCAGGTCGAATGCAGGTTCCCGACGCGAGCCGCCCCGAAACCTGCTCCCCAGTGAGAACAAAGGCAGGCGCCAAGCGAGAACCTGATTGGTGCCCGGTCCTCACCGGTGTGCTCCGGCCCCGGAGATAAGTTGCTTTGCCCATTGGCGCGGAGCTCCGTGCTCACTGGCGCCCCAGCTCCCCACCCGGCCTTGGCTGGGACCACAGAGGACTGCGCGTTATGACATCACCTGTTTTCGCTCTTGAGAACACGATCAGTATTCTCGGCTTCTCCTTTTTTAAAGGTCTCTAGTGTACGAGGATTTGTGAAGGCCTGCAGTTGGCAGAATGAATCTGTGGAGATGATTTTAAAAGGCGGTTTCACTGGTTTGCTTTTCTTTCTTTTCTTTTTCTTTTTAATTTAAAAAAACTACCCTGGTTTCCTTAGGGGATTCAGTGTGGTGTTGTGATGCAAAATCAGAAAGGTACACTTGGAGGAGCTAGCAAGTTTAGCATATCAAAGCTATTAGACCAAATTGTGTGGTTGAAACTGCCAATCTCCTCATTTTTCGACAGCTGCCTTCTCTCTGTCCCTTTTAGAGACCAACAGGCACACACCAAGTCTACACAAGGAACAAAGGAAATGGAAATCTGCCAGTGTCAGGTTTAAATAGATTAAAATAGACTGGAAAACCCCCAAAGGGTCTAAGTTATGTGGTTGGGTAAATGTGTTGATCTATTTAACTAGTGACAGCTAAAGGTCGCTTGATGTTGTGTAGACGTATAGAGCCTAGAAGAGCAGCAGTGTGGGGATGGTGCATAAGATTCAGTTAGAAGAAACTGCAAAAGCAAGAAAATTCAGCAAAGGGAGAAATACTACGTACCCTTCAATGCAGAGAACCAAGAAATCCAGGGAGAAAGAAAGTTAGGAAGGCACAGTTTTCCTAAGAGCTGAAACACATATGTGTGTCCCCATTTATTGGTATATTTCTTGGGCTATATTCCTGGCTGGTAAAGCAGGCTTTATGTGAATGCATTTTAAAGGGAAGGAGAAATTGAAGGATGAAGTGAATTTTTGTGTAGAGACTGAATTTTCTCAAAACAGTATTTTAACTTCAAATTGTTTTTAATCGTATACTTTTAATATAATCTTTCCTTTTATTTCATAGCTCAAATCCTTTCACCATGAAGTCCTTTAAGTTCTTCAAAAACTAAATCTCCCAGAAAGGAAGGCCAAGAGAGGCAGCCTATACAATTATAACCTCTAACAGAGATTGCTAAAAGGAATCTCTTCATTGATCTATGGTCATATATGTGTATGTGACCAAATGATGGCCCTCTGTACCAAATCCTCCAAACTTTTATAACGATGATTATCTATAAATCATTTATTTGGCAGTTAACCGAGTACTGTACTGTAACCTTTCTTCTGTTGGGCCATGATATATGTGTGGATGAAACATATCTGAAATCTACAGTTCAGCAACTCATTCTCAATGCATAATGACCACCCTTTCTTCTAGTTCTCAGTCCCACCATGCTTTTTCTCCCTTCTCATGGTAATGTTCAACTTCTACCCCTTCCTTTCTCTTCCATTCCTCACCTGGCCTCTCTTTCTTCCTAGCCAGCCTGGATACCAGAAGGAGACTGTGACTTACAGAATAAGGGACTTGCAAATCCCAGATCACATTGTTAGTGAAGAGGGAAGGAAACAAAAGCCTATTCTTTGCACTTCATACAGAGCAAGGAGAAACTCCGCCCCTTTTGTTGTCTGGTTTGTCTAAACCGAGAAAGAACTTTAGGAAGGTAGGATATGGGTGAAAATTACAACCACGGCCGAGCACTGCTCCGTAATTTAAAAAAAGTTTTTCGTTGTTTTTGTTTTTGTTTGCGGGGGGGGGGCGTAATTAGGTTTCTTTATGTATTTTCATTAATTTTTAATTTAACTTAATTTTTTAGTGTAGATACTGGGGATAGAACCCAGGACCTTGTGCATGCTAAGCACGCACTCTACCTTTGAGCTATACCCTCCCCCACTACTTCGTAATTTTTTAATTATGAAGTTCGAATGATACTTCATTAAACACATTACATCTTTAAAAAAGTAATTTTTGCTTGTTTTGAAATATTCTTTTAAAATGTGATCTTTTTTTTTCTGGAGAGAGATTGGATTCAAGTCCTTATCTGTCACCAATTCCTTCTCTGACATTAAACATAATAATGATCATAACTGGGGCTTGCTATCTCTTTTATGAAATGAAAATTTTTACCGCAAACCAAGGGAGGCCTGGGGACAAGTTTTTAAGTTCAGCACTTTTGCAAGAAGATACCCTGTTAATAACATGCTGTGACTTTTGGACTTGAAATTGTTTACTTCTCTAGATAATCTCATTCTACTGACCTAAGAGCTGGGCCCCTTTATAGTTCCTAAATAAGGATTCAATTGAAAAAATCAATTACTAAAGATATTTTAAAAATTCCATTTCTTGAGACAATAGGTCATTTTCTAACATTTTGCCTCCTCAGACATCTTTTTCTTTCCCCTGGGGGCACCCAAAGCATTTGGATTGCAAGGAAAGTACTGCATTATTTACAAATTTGCAAATACTGTAATTTGTTTTGCGCACAAAGGAATTTTGCACTTCACACAATTGTAAATTGATTGCTCCCTTTGAGCTGTTAATTAGATTCCTGCTATTTTTTTTCCCCTAGGGCCCAAGACCAATTCTATTTTTTCCAAAGGAGAAATTAAGAGGGTCTGATCCAAAAACGCCACTGCCTTACTGCCCATTCCCATCCCACCCCCTCCATCGCCCACCTCCACCAAGAAAATTATTCTTACCAAAGCTCATTTTTCAAAGAACAAATATTCCATCAAGATCCAAATTTCTGTCAGCCTTGGCTTCTGAATTCCCATTTCAGAACTGCCAGCCTTTAACCCCACATAAAGCAGACTGCAAATGAGAGGCCTACAGACGTGGGCTTCATGTTGTTTGCTTGGCCCACACGATGTTTTTTTTTTTTTAATTGTATTACTTAAAAACAATTACACTTAGGGGATTTTGCCTTCTACATCTAGATTTCCAGTTTCTCTTGAAAAATCGTCAGATCTGGTGGCACTGGATTCCTGCTGCCACCTGGCAACCATCTGCTGAGCCTAGAACCTGCTATCTCGGTTTTCTCATACACTCCGGTTTACCAATTCTCTCTCTCCTTCAGGTGACATTTTGCCACTTTCTTTACATTATTTTCTTGACATGTATAGGGATTTGCCGCCTCTGTAAACTTTCTCCAGCATCTAATTTACTGATCTGATTGTCACTCATAACTTTTATCA